AGATCGATGGGAAAGAAAATGAGTTTGTCTGCTCGGTGACGTGGGGAGCCGCCAGGGGTCACAGGACCACAGTCAGGCCTGTCGGGTGCTCGGCAGAGCGTGCCAAGAAGACCACCACCTCCACCAAGATCAAAACAACATCAACACGGGCGTATAAATATGAATTCTGCAATCTTCAGCAGCGTCCATGTTTCACGCGCCGTCAGAAATATTTAAAGGGAAAATTCAGCCAACAAGAAAAACCAATCCATGAAGGGCTAGTGCTACGGAAGAATAACAAATCAGTTTGTTTATTGTAATATGAGATTTATCAAATAAATTTGAGATTTATCAAATAAATTAGAGAGGAGCGTCGCATCACTGCTGCTCCGGTGGGCGGCCCACCAGAGCAGCAGTGACGCAACGCTCCTCTCCAGCTCAGCTCCGACGACGTCCTCACGTGTGAGGAAAATCATGAGGCACCGCGATCGAGGCAACAGTGAGTAAGACGGGGCCTGGGCTTAGTTTTTTGTCTACTGTTGCAGTGCATTCTATATGTACTGTATGTGTGCTATATATAGAATGCACTGCAGTAATAGATTTACAATTCTGACCTGCTAATATGAAGGGGTTAAATGATCCATAGTACATAATAGTACATAACATGTAGTTGTACTACGGATCATTTAACCCCTTCATGTTAGCAGGTCAGAATTGTAAATCTACTGCTGCAATGCATTCTCTATGTACTATACATGTGCTACATATAGAATGCATTGCAGCAGTAGATTTACAAATCTGCACTGCTAATCTGAATGGGTTAAATGATCCGTAGTACAACTACATGTTATGTACTATGGATCACGATTTAACCTATTCATGTTAGCAGGGGATAATTGTAACTCTATTTCTGCAGTGTACTCGACATGAATAGGTTAAATCATGATCCATAGTACATAACATGTAGTTGTACTACGGATCATTTAAAGTCACCTATCCCTTTTTTAAAAAGTATCGGTAATTGGTATTGGCAAGTACATGAGGGAAAGTACTTGTACTTGCTCCTGTAAAAGTCGAATCGGGACATCCCTAGTCTCTATTATCTCTTGGGGACTGCACTGGTGGGATATTTGCACTTGTGTGCACACCTACTGTGCCCATTATGAGGGGTTCCCACCATTATTGTGCTAAATGTCCAGGTCTGTACGCCTGCTGTGCCAATTATGAGGGGCTCCCACCATTTCTGTGCTGAGTTTCCTGGTCTACACACCTGCTGTGGCGATTATGAAGGGCTCCCACCATTTCTGTGCTGAGTTTCCTGGTCTACACACCTGCTGTGGCTATTATGAAGGGCCCCCACCTTCTCTCTGCTGAGTTCCTGTGTCTACCCACACCTGCTGTGCCCATTATTATGGTATCTCACCATCCCTGTGCTGAGTTCCCAGGTCTACATAACTGCTGTGCCCATTATGAGGGGCTTCTACCATTACTTTGCTGTGTTTCTGGGTCTACACACCTGCTGTGCCCATTATTATGGTCTCTCACCATCCCTGTGCTGCGTTCCCAGGTCTGCATAACTGCTGTGCCCATTATGAGGGGCTTCTACCATTACTTTGCTGTGTTTCTGGGTCTACACACCTGCTGTGCCGGCACCATCTCAGTGCTGAGTTCCCAGGTCTACACACCTGCTGTACTCATTATGAGGGCCCCCACCATCCCTATGCTGATTTCCCATGTCTACACACCTGCTGTGCCCATTATGATTGCCCCCCACCATCCCTATGCTGGGTCCCTGGGTCTACACGCCTGCTGTGCCCATAATGGGGGGCTCCCACCATCCCAGTTGGTTTTTGTTTTATTTTGCAGAGACTGTAACAAAAGGATGCAGAACAATCAATGGTGGATGGGGAACATCCAAAACTCCACCTTTTCACTGATGATATGGGAGTGCGTGCCCACATTCCAGAGATGGAGAGATGAGGTCCAGAATGCCAGCTGCCACGGAACCGCAGAGAAACATTTTAATCTTTTAGATTATTTCATAAACAAAACAAGCATTATATCCTAAATAAGATGGAGGGGGGGAGGAGGAGTGACACCATTTTTATTATTCAAGTGAACTAACCATTTATACAAACGATCCATGTGACTAAAAGGTAACTGCTGTACACACCCAAACCTGCTTACCTTAAGGCCTGGTTCACACCTAGGCAATTTTGAGCAGTAGGAAAAGCGCTTTTAAACGGCCAACACAAGAAATCGCATGATTTTCAATGGCCCCTGTTCACACCTGAGCAGCTAAACGCCAGCAGGAAAACACCAAACGCAGAAAAACGTACAAGAGTTTCAAGCTCGTTGTCCGCTCCTAGACTTCAATGGAAATGCCCCAAAACACGTGGCAGAAGAATGTTGCACATTTTTGTGCGCGTTTTTGTGCGTTTGTACACACATTCGTCCATTGCCCGCAATGTTTCTTAAACTGTCAGTTAAAATACGCATCTTCATGTATGCGCCTACAAATGTGCAAAACGTGCAAATAACCGCATGCTGAAAAAAATGATGCTAAGGTTTGGTTTGCCACTACCATGAGTGCGCTGCAAATTCCTGGGATTCACAAAGCTCACTAGTCCCAAACTTTTCACTTCGCAGGTTCAACGGCAGAAATAAGGGTCAACCTATAATGCAGTGCAATGCCCTTGTCCATGGTCAGCTGAGTCACTGTCACGGGGTTAACCATTTATTTGAAGAACTGGTTAACCCAGACCCCTTTCTAGAATGTTGGCATTGGTTCTTATTCTCCATGGCAGTGCCCAGCCGCTCATGCCTTTTCTATCACAATAGCTTGCTTATTAGCCCTACAAATGGCCAGAATTGAATTGCAAAATATGTGAACTTTAAACAAGATTCGCAAAACTGTTCACAAACTGAATCCGGGCACATTTGCTGATCCCTAGTTATTATCACTGTATTTGGACAGCTTGGTCTGCAATGTGAATGAACAGCAAAATAGAAAGAAGCAAAATTATAAAAAGTAATTGATATTATCCATAGTAATCATAGAGGGCTGTGGTCAGCTGCAGTGAAAGAGATGACACCAGAAGGTGCACTGCTAAAAAGAAAATATGTGTATCAAAGGCCTGGCTCTGTGGTCTGTAACAATGTGAAAGTCACAGGACTGCCCGAACAGAATTACAAAACCCTTGGTAAGTAAAACAGTTAACTAGTTTTTGTAAAGAAAAAACTGCGCATTTAGCTTTTTGTCTAAAGTTCTACTTGAATATCACTTAAAAAAAGCCTCCTCTACTTATCCAGAACAGAACAGGTACTCTTTAAACAGTAATTTACAATTCTGATTTGCCAGACAGATTTGTATCAAATCAAGCAATGAGATTGAGAACCCTCGGTGGCAGGAAGTGCGCCTTAGCGTGCTTCAATTCGACTCCGATTACACCTTTGGCGCTCTGCTTTTCCTTCACGACTGATTAATCAACATCATAGTTGGAGCAATATGACTAAGTGGATAATTATTTCCCTTAACGTAATTACAGATTCGGTGATGCCTCACCTGACAGGAGTCGTTTTGTTGTCACACAGGTACAATACATTGTCTCGTCAGTTCCCTCTGCCGTGCTGACGAAACTCATGCTTTAGGGATATTTTAAGGAATTTTCCCAGCGATGACTGAACAAAATCTAATGGGGATCATGTGATGCGGCAAAGAGCAATGTCTGGTCACCGAGCAAAATTAATTCTGATCTGGTTGTTATGAAATCCATACAAAAATTGACTTTCCAGTAACTTGCCTGCATAGATATATTGCTTGCATAGATTCCTGCCATGTCCTACCATACAGCACAAGTATAAATCTGCAGATTAAAAATCCATTCTTAAGCCCCAGTTCAGTGACAGAGATGATGTCATCAGTCTACTGCAGGTAGGAGGAAGCATTTCCTTAGGGCCCATTCACACCAGATGCAGTGCGTTCCGGCCTGATTCTGGCCAGAAAGCACTGCCTTGCATTGCGGCCGGCTCACTTTTATGTGGGGCATGAAGGGGCGTGGCGGGTAATTGAAGTGAATGGTGCAGTAGCCACGCCCTCCAGCCGCAATGTATGTTGTATGCCCTCCCGCCCACCATGTATGACATTGTTTTTGAACCACAGCACAGAGTATAGGCATGGTGAGCCGTAGTGCTGTAATGTACAACACACAATTATGACTGGGCCTCAAAGATGTATTAATGATTAAGGAGCTTCATTAATCTGCATCTTATGTCTGCCTGGAGTTCAGCTTTTAGATAGAACTAAGGAGTTAAAACTTTCATTCCCGCCAAGGATCCCACATGGAGTATGTACCATATATTTCCATTTTGTTCCTATAGGTTTTCTCCCACAATCCACAAAGTAAAATATTTTGCCTAGAACACTCCGGCTGTGGTGGAAGTACAAGTCCCATCATGCCTCTGCCTCTGGGAGTCATGCCTGTGGCTGTCAGATTCTTGCAATGCCTCATGGGATTTGTAGTTCCACAACAACTGGAGTACCGAGGTTGCCTATCCCTGGCCTAGAGGCTTTACACTGTCTTATTCCTTAATGGAATTCCACTGTTGGTGCTGAATTATATTCCCCTCTCACCCAAGAACAGGAACTGTGACTCTATATCTGTTATTATTGCACCTCCAGCCTTGCTAGCGCCAATGCGTCACCCACAAATGGTGCACCACTGTGCCAAGCAAGCCCTGAATGGACATAGACGCTAACTCTAAAAGCTGAACAAGTTATCATCATTTCTAAGATATGTTATAGCACAGTTGAGCCATTTTTTTCTGTATACATTTCCCAAATGTCTCCTTGGCCTTGAGGTCCAGAAGGATAAGAGTGGAGTCATTTAGTCCTGCCTTTTGCTTTCTGAGTAATTTCAGTTTCTCATGCCATCAAACATTGTACAAAGTTCCCATCAGCATCCCATATGTTATTTTTTCTTTAGAAACCCAACTCAGTGCACATCATGGAGTTCTCTTACCTTGAGACTTCGGTAGTTTGGTGATCTTTCCACACGGCTTGGAAAGGGTGACAGTTTTCTGGCACTCCGCGTTGTGGAGGGCTCTCTTAAGGATTCCGCTCCGTGTCTTTACCCCGGTTTCTGGGTCGCACTCTCCCCACTCCTGGAACTGGTACTTACACTCCGCTGCAGGGTAAAAGGGGACACAGTAAGTATGACTTTCAATGTAAGCACACCTTAGTGGAATAGGTCCAATTCACACCTTTGTAGTAATTTCTGATGACGTCATACACAGATTGTGAAAGACAATCCTGACATGTCACAGTCAACAATCCTCAAGCTCCAGTCCAGTGACTTTGCCTAGGCAGAGATGATGTCATCAGTCTGCTGCAGGCAGGAGGAAGCATTTCCTCAGTCTCCTCTCCCCCAGTGATCAGATTGCAACATTGTAAGTTGGTATGATGTCATAAGGAGGGAGGCTGCAACAGAGGCTGACCTCTCTTTGATTTCTCAAGGAAGTCTGGGTGAGAAGTCTCCATGAAATTGAAGTATGGGCTCTCCAATCCTGGAGAAGTATGGCACCACTGGGGGCTTTTAAGTGTGCCAACCCAAACAGAGTTAAGGAAAAGGAAAACAGAGTTTTTGGTCCTCCATGCAGGGTAAGATGGCTAAATTACAAATTAATCTGTTGTTAGCACCACTAATTATATCACACTGTTATCTGCCAGCTGAGTCAGTGCCAGCTGTCTATGCTATTGACCTGTTCATGATGGCGGGAAGCATTTTGAGTTGGCGCATTGTCTGCCATGTAGCCTAAAAGCATGCAGCCCAAGACTGCTGTTGTTGTGAGCTCTAGTGGGCTGTGGGTCCAATGGGCATCCAGTGTACTGATAAGAATTTCACTCTCCCATGGCACAATTACCACCAAGTAAGTTCTCTCCTTCCATCGTGTGTGGTAGTCAACCTCCGATCACCTCATCATGTTACATAGATATACACTGAGTGGCCAGATTATTATGACCACCTGATGTTTGTAGGCAAATTAGCTATAATTTGGCGCTGAAGTTGCTAGAGGGCCAGACCATTATAAATAGGGAAGCAGGTTGTTTACCACGACAGTAGAAGTTATTTTTTTCTGAAGATATGGGTAAACAACGAGATTTAACAGCCTTTGAACGTGGGATGATTGTTGGCGCTCTGAGCTATGGAGCGAGTATCAGCAAAACAGCAGAATTCGTTAAATGTTCAAGAGCAGCTGTTGTTAAAGTGTTTAAAGACTGGAATGTCAGCCGAAAATCTGGGTCTGAAGGTGCGAATTGTGGCCGTCAGCGACTAGTCAATGTTAGGGCAGAACGGAGACTGGCAAGACTGGTACAAGACAACAGAAGGTCAACAGTGCAGTGTCAGATTCCTCGCATCACCTTTCAACATCTCGTGGAGTCACGAGGCGGCCCAACGAAGTCATCTCGTGGAGTCATCTCGTGGCCCAACGAAGTACTGATGGGGTGGTCATAATAATCTGGCCACTCAGTGTAGATAGATAGATAGATAGATAGATAGATAGATAGATAGATAGATAGATAGATAGACAGACAGACAGACAGATCGATCTTGATTTACACATCGGGTGTGCTCACCTCCAAATTGCTTCTTCCAGTTACACGGGATTTTACACTTCTGGGTTTTCGCGTTCTGTTTACATTCCTTCCCTGACCGCGTGCCCTCCCGCATCCCCATACCACAGTCGCCGCTGGAGGCGACACAGACGCTCCACTGCCATTCTCCGCAGTCCGACTTCTTGGCCTTTTTCTCTGTAAAGTGGAAAATATTCTCACTTCAGTGAACAGAACGTGTTTAATTAATCCATCGAATTAAAAATAATAACAAATCTCTAATCCGCTCTGATAAGAGCTGAAATGTGGAAAACTGTTTTCCTTTCCTTTGAATATAAGAATAAGAAAACATGTTTTCAAAGATTAAAACTGAACACCAGGCAGGTATTAAGAATCAACAATTAAGCAGTTAGGTGTAAGCAGTAAGGCATTTAAATGCAGCCAGTATAAGTACCTGAATCTGACTTGGTATCAGCCTATAATCCCCGCCACAGCAGACTGGAAGAGTGAGGGATAGAACTAGGGGCCAATCAGGCTGTTACATGCACAAGGATCATGTTGACAGGATGAGAGAGCAGAATGAGTCATCAGTTTTGGATTTGTCACTACTATCAGGGCTATTCACAAAAGGGTGAAGAGTTTGGAGAAGGCAGGAGAAGTGAACAATCTAGGACAACATAGCTGAACTGGCAAGTGAGCGGAATTGGAGAATTTTTCCAAATCAGCGATGTTGTTAGATTGTTCACTTCTCCGGCCTTCTCCAAACTCTTCACCCTTTTGTGAATAACCCTGTATGAGTTTGCAGTGAATTCCCAGGATATGCATGGCCTTTGTCCCAGGCTAGTTAAATCACAAGGGCCAGTAACTTGAAGAAATGGATAACCCAGCCCACTTTCTATAAGAGGGTGGGCTCACAGCAGCCATATTGCCAGTTTGTGTTGAAGCTGTTAGGAATTGCTGGCAATTCCGTGTAGGGAGACACTGTTTTTTTTTTTTTTTTAAAAAGAAGAACTCTGAGAATTCAAAAATTTAACATTGCAGTGGGGCTCCCCCACACTGCAAGGTATTGTTCATTTTGTCTAGGGGGGTCAAACCACGTACATATATACGCAGCTGGTCCTCAGTCTTGTTGTGTTGCTAGACCGGTACCCGCAGCCTCTTCTCCCCCTGGGCTCCAGTAGTCTAAAGACCACTGACATCATCACATCTAGTGCAGGTCCATTGCCTTGTATTAGACGTGAGGAGTCAGAGGGAAATTCCACAGCTGTAACAGAGGGAGAAAGTTGAGTGCCAACCAATGCAGGACCAGCTATATAAATCAGTATATCTGCTTTATTTTAGCCCCCTAGAGAAAATGAGCAGTGGGTAGCCCCACTGCAAGAGTTATTTTTTTTTAAATTCCTAGGGTTAGTTTTTAAATTTTGCCATTGGAACATATTTCCAACGGCAGTTCCGGCTTCTAATTCCTTGTATTTGGCAATAGCTTGCTTATTAACTCTACAATTGGCCATTTTGTCTCAACCAGATTCCACCTTATAGACTTCAATGGGGTTTACTACAAGTTCGTTAACTTTGAGCAATATTCACGAAACTGTTTGTGAACCAAACCCGGTTCATGCTCATCCCTAGTCATCGGTTTGGCTGCTTTTCTTTCAATGTCCAATCTCAGGTGGGGGTCAGGGAGGTGACCAAACTATATTGCTTACCTGGGATCTGACATGTTGTAATGCTTAACAGAGACAACTTAGTTTAGAACACCAGGTAAAAACCATGGGTGCTCATGAACATGCTGAATGCACAAGGGGCTAAAATGGCTGGAGGTGGCCAAGTCACTAAAGGACGCAGCAAGAATTACCCTACCGTGTGTACCTCAGGCTGAAAAGAAGGAAACAGAGCGTGGAGTGCAAGTGACGCAGCACTCAGTTCCTCCATCTGTAAACCCTTTTCATGGAAGCCAACAGAAAAGGGGATAATAAAGGTGCAGATGGCTCCAATACATTTAGTAACTCCCAATGTTCAGCACACGCAGCCAACTCATAAAGAGTCTTTAGAGACTAGGTCACACCAGAGGCTGTGCCATGACACTGGGCACAGCACACAAAGCTCAGGACAGTTCCACAAGCAGGGCCTAGTGCTTGAATGTCACATTCCAGACAGTCCTCACCATCATTTAGTCCAGCAGAGTCCAGATACAGTGGTACCTCGGTTCACAAACTTAATTCGCTCCATGATTATGGTCGCAAACCGAATCAAACTGTGATCAGACTGCGATCTTGACTCCGGGAAGCCACGACCATATGTCAGAGCGGGGAAGATGGCTGCGGTTCTGCCGAACTTCCTGTTCACAGACCGAATTGTATGCGAACAGAGGCGTTCGTGAACAGAAGTACCACTGTACATCCTCCAAAGCTGTTGCTGAGGATACACCATTCCATATAACTGCAGCAGTCTATGGATAAAGTCTTAATTGAAGAAAAAATGATCTCACAAAAGTGAAAAAATGGCCAGTGCAAATAGTTAAACTTTTTCCAGTACACAAAAGACATCCATCCTCCCTGGACACTAGCAAAAAAACTGAGGCATGCTGGGAATGGGTGGGGTGGCCATGCTGGCCACTTTTTTTTGTTTGCCACCTTCAAATCCTCCTGTAGGTGGCAGTATGACCCGATTATCTCTGAATTACCGTATTTTTCACTCCATAAGACGCACTTCTTTCCCCCCAAAAGGAGGGGGAAAATGTGCCTGCGTCTTATGGAGCGAATCCCGATGCCCGAGACATGCAGTTTTGGGTGCCGGGCGAGTAGTAGGAGCCACTGCTCGTTTAATACGAGTGATCTAATGAGATCACTCGTATTAAAGCCGAGCAGCGGCGGCGGCGATCGTATTCAGCAGTAGGAGCCACTGCTCGTTTAATACGAGTGATCTCTGCTCTGTGTGATCACTGAGACCGTGGCGCTGTAATCACAGCGCCACCTGTCTCAGCGGTCACTAACTGCAGCTTCTGTCACAGCTTCTGTCATAGAAGCTTTGTCAGAAGCTACAGTCTGTCGAGTGCTCCATAAGGCGCGCCGGACCTCCTGCGTCCTATGGTCTGGTGCGTCTTATGGACCGCAAAATACGGTATGTGTCCCTTAAACTGGAACCCCTCGCACTGAAAGGGTTAACTGCTCATTTTGTCTAGGGGGGCAAAAATAAAGAAGAAATACTAACCCGATCCTCTGTCCCACCTAGCTGCTAGACCGGTCCCCACAGCCTCTTCTCCAGCCTGGCTCTGGTGTTCTAAGGAACCGTGACATTATCACTTCTAATAGAGCTCAGTAAGACGTGAACATGCTGAGGGACATACCACACCTAAAGCAGGGAGGCAGAGAGGTGAGTGGCCACTGCCGTAGGATCAGGTGAGTATTTCTTCTTTAATTTTGCCCCTAGAGAAAAAATAAGCAGTGTGGCGACCCACCTTCAATGGTTATCTTTTTATAATCAGAGTAAGACATTTCAGTCCAGGAGAGGAGGAGCCTGTACAACTGAGCTGAAGTTCACCTTTAAAACAAAGATCATTCTTGTGAAGGAATCCTGAGGCTTACCTTGCTTGTCTTTCTTTGCCGTGTCTGTTCCGAGAACTGTGAGCACCAATAGGAATGCCAGGAGGGCGAGCATGAATATTCCGTGGTGGTGATGCATTCTGTAAGGCAGAGAAGGTCACATATGTGAGATTGTAACAAATCCTGAACACATTCTACCTATTCAGACAATAACACGCGCCCCTCAACCTGATTATGTATCTTGTGTATGACTGGTGACAGAAAGGATGCTGGCCATCAGACTGAATACATGTAGCGGCAGAACAATAGTACCGCACGGGTAATCTCTGGAATGAAACTGAATATTGTAGCAAGAGATACGCCGATGCCAATACCAGTATCAGTGCCGATACTGGGCATTTTCACGAGTACTCATACCCCGATACTAATCGCCGATACCGACGCTTTACATTTTTACGTTTGTTCTGCTGTATGAGGTATAGAAAAATGTCACCAGCACACCATAAGTTGAAAAAGCAAAATATTTTATTGCCAATAGCTGTATCTCATTAGCCAATAGCTGTATCTGCCAATGAGATACAGCTATTGGCAATACAATATTTTGCTTTTCCAACTTATGGTGTGCTGGTGACATTTTTCTATTGTTCATGTGTGGGGGTGCCATCCGCAGTCATTTCGAGCACCCATCTTCATCAAGTGGGAATCCCGGTAAGGAGTGCGGTATGGTTCCTGTTTCTATTTCTGTTGTATGAGGTCCCACGCTTGCTGGGGGACAGCTACCTCACAGCGGCTGTATTTTACAACGCCAGTGTGGCACCTGAAGAAACTGGTGAGACGCCACACACAGCCCTGGAGAGATGCTGCACACAGTCCTGGGGAGAATGCACAGACCTGGTGAGACACTGCCCACAGCCCTTGGGGGAAAATGCACAGCCCTGGTGAGGCCGCATGCAGCCCTAGTGAGAATGCACAACCCTGTTGAGAATGCACAACCCTGGTGAGAATGCACAGCCCTGGGGAGACTGCACAGCCCTGGGGAGACTGCACAATCCTGGTGAGAATGCACAGCCCGAGGGAGACTGCACAGCCCTGGAGAGACGCTGCACACAGTCCTGGGGAGAATGCACAGTCCTGGTGAGAATGCACAGCCCTGGGGAGACTGCACAGCCCTGGAGAGACGCTGCACACAGTCCTGGGGAGAATGCACAGTCCTGGTGAGACCGCATGCAGCCCTGGTGAGAATGCACAGCCCTGGTGAGACGCTGCCCACAGCCCTTGGGGGAAAATGCACAGCTCTGGTGAGACCACATGCAGCCCTGGCAAGGATGCACAGCCCTGATGAGAATGCACATCTGTGGTGAGAATGCACAGCCCTTGTCAGACCTTGCACAGCCCTGGTGAGACTCCGTACAGCCCTGGTGAGCAACACAGAGTGTGTAGCTTCATATTTTTCTGCATTGCTGTATAATGTATTGCTGGGATTTGTAGTCCTTCTACAGCTTGGAGTCAGTGGCAGAACTACCAGGGTAACAGTGGTCACAGCTGTGACTGGGCCCTGGCACTCCACCACTGTCCTAAAATCATTCATCTATATTGTTTTAGAAAAAATGTCACATGACACTAAAACAATCGGTATCGGTAATTAGTATCTGCGAGCACTTGAGGAAAAGTATCAGTACTCGTACTCGGTCTTGAAATAATGGTATCAGTGCATTCCTAATTGCAGCAGAAGTGGTTTTGTTATTTTATCTTGTTATGGGCTATCCACTTTTATCTTGTTTTTTTTGGCTGGAGTTCTACTTTATCAAAAGCTACAGATTTAAACATATTATTATCTGGTCATATAAAAGTCACTAACATACAGAGTTTGATTCACAGCTACTTCCGTCCTCCATCTTGTGCAGATACTTTGTAACAATTACTCAAGAAGTGGCTAATAGTCCTCCAGCCCCGAGATAACCGTAAATCCAATAGTTCTTTATGCGGCTATTGATCCCGCAAATTAAATAGTGGGCAGCGCAAGCTGAATGTTCAATTAGGAAGATGTTGGAGATGGACTTTTTTTGTTGTTGCCCCAAATGTAATCAGTACGGTGGCTCATGTGAAGATGAGGATAAACGCAGGCGAGGACGCAGTGATCCATTTTCGATAACGATAACAATTTATTTGAGGGGGGCTCTATGTTTGGAAATGTGATTGGACAGGAATTGGTTCTACTGATGGGGGGGAAGCGCTGGCTGAGTAGTAGATGATGGACAAAGTTCAGATAATAGTCACACATATTGGTTCAGGGTTTAAGAGGACCTGTCATTAATAGAAATCTGATTGAAAACAACGTGTAGATCAGCTTTTCTCAAACAGGGTGTCATGGCACACTGGTGTACCTTCTGGCATCCTCAGGGTGCCTCAAAATTTTGTGGTAGTTGGACTGTGATATGAAGGGGGCAATGAAGACTGATGTGAAGGGGGCTCTGGATGTAAAAGGGGAACTCTGATGTAAAAGTGGGGCTCCTGATATGGAGGAGGGCTATTGTTGCAAAGGGTGACTCTGATGTGAGGGGTGGGATCTTGATTTGTATGGGGCGCTTTGGTGTGAAGGGGCAAACCCACTTTAAAGTGTGTTTATGCATGGGCTTCCCATTAAAATCTATGACATTTTAGACTGGGGTGATACAACATTTTGCATACTTTTAAAGGGTGCCGTGACTAAAAAAAGGTTGAGAAATTTTGGTTTCGATTGAAGTATATCTAAAGCCAAAACTTTACTTCTTCCATAAGATCTATAAAAACCTCTATAAGTTTTTTTCTTGCTGCCTTTCCCTTTCGGGAGATCTTCCTTCACTTCCTTTCTTGAAGCACAACAGGAAGTCAAGGGAGTGGCCTTTCTGACAGTTGTCACCAGAACAGGTGTCCCCATTGGAAGATTTCCCCATAATTCTTGTTGAGGGCCCAGTCACACCATAACCGGTGCGGTTCAAGCCCTGAACGCACTGGATCACATAGATCAAGCCGGGCAGTGTTCTTGGGCATGAGGGGGGCGTGTTGGTGTCATTCATGTCAATGGCACCGCAGATACCCCTCCCCCCCCCGCCTGCAATGCGATCGCCCGCACCAGAACACGAGGTACAGGATTTGAAAAAAGGCATATACACTATATTGCCAAACGTATTGGGACACCTGCCTTTACATGCACATGAACTTTAATGGCATCCCAGTCTTAGTCCGTAGGGTTCAATATTGAGTTGGCCCTTTGCAGCTAACAGCTTCAACTCTTCTGGGGAGGCGTCCACAAGGTTTAGGAGTGTGTCTATGGGAATGTTTGACCATTCTTCCAGAAGAGCATTTGTGAGGTCAGGTACTGATGTTGGAGGAGAAGGCCGGGCTCGCAGTCTCCGCTCTAATTCATCCCAAAGGTGTTCTATTGGGTTGAGGTCAGGACTCTGTGCAGCCCAGTCAAGTTCCTCCACCCCAAACTCGCTCATCCAGGTCTTTATGGAGTTGGACCTTGCTTTGTGCACTGGTGCGCAGTCATGTTGGAACCGGAAGGGGCCATCCCCAAACTGTTCCCACAAAGTTGGGAGCATGAAATTGTCCAAAATGTCTTGGTATGCTGATGCCTTAAGAGTTCCCGTCACTGGTACTAAGGGGCCAAGCCCAACCCCCGAAAAACAACCCCACACCATAACCCCCCCTCCAACAAACTTTACACTTGGCACAATGCAGTCAGGCAAGTACCGTTCTCCTGGCAACCGCCAAACCCAGACACATCCATCGGATTGCCAGACAGAGAAGCGTGATTCGTCACTACAGAAAACGCGTCTCTACTTCTCTAGAGTCCAGTGGCGGCGTGCTTTACACCACTGCATCCGACGGTTTGCATTACACTTGGTGATGTAAGGCTTGGATGCAGCTGCTCGGCCATGGAAACCCATTCCATGAATCTCTTTACGGACACAAAGTTTGGAAGTCTGTAGCTATTCACTCTGCAGACAGTTGGCGACTTCTGCCCACTGTGGTGCTTCAGCATGCGCTGACTCCACTCTGTCCTTTTAGATGGCCTTAGACGCACGTTTTTTCCCCCAAAAGGCGGGCAAAAATGTCTGTGCGTCTTATGGATCGAATGTGTGAGAGCTGAGGGAATCCCTATCGCCTGACGCCCAGGACATGCATTTTCAGGGCCGTAGTTTTTTGTACATTTAGCCCTGCTCCTGACAAGCAGATCTAAATGTATAGTGTGGAGCCGCCGCTCGTTTTCATACAAGTGATCTGATTAGATCACTTGTATGAAAGGAGCAGCGGGGATTCTGTCCGCCCCGCCCCGCCATGGTTTTCAGGGTCCCCCGCTCTTCTGGTGTACCCGTGACCACGGCATAGGAGCTCACCATAGAGCCCGTAGAGCAGACGAAGAACGTCCGGTCTTCGTCTGCTCTGTGTGATCACTGAGACCGTGGCACTGTAATCACAGTGCCACCTGTCTCAGCTGTCACTAACTACACATAACCCTACTCTCCCTGCGTCCTATGGTCAGGTGCGCCTTATGTAGCGCAAAATACGGTAATTTAAATATCTTTCCATCTTGCATGCTTACTACTAAAATGTGTGTCCCAGCTGAATTTGCTTTAATAGCCCTCGTGTGTGAGAGTGATTGGGCCATAAAGCTGAACTTCGGACACAAAAAACTTCATTGAAATATTTTTTTTTAAAGCCACAAAAAAGATATATATCCACTCTGTGTGCACCGAATACATATGAAAAGCCAGATATTACCCTTTACAATTAGCAGCAACATCAGCACTGTGCTGTAGCAAAGCAGTGGGAGGGGCCCAGCAGTTCCCCTCTCTACAGGTTGCCTGTAGAAAACTTCAGGAGGGGGCGGAGACAAGACCAGTCCCCCTACACAAGGAGAGAGAGCAGCAGTAAGCGGTCTTTGTTACACAGAGGCAAAGTGCAGGAACTGTTTTTATGCTGGTGCGCTGCACAGATCCTGCAGAAAGGACACCAAGATACAGATAAGAATACACATGACTCTTGTATGTAAGTGCCATAGGAAAAGGACGGGATATAAAATACTATTCTTTCTGAATGTGATCTATATTTAGAAGAAGATGGAGGTAATAATAATCTTGCCTCCTCCCAGAAT